GGGGGGGGAGGAGGGACGTTTTGTATTCTCCTTAAACCTTATATGAGTGTAAGTCAAAGAAAAAGGGTTCTGTGCAAGCGAGGGACTTATGATGCTTTGATGAAAGTTTCAATTCATTGAGAAAACCTTATCCTGACCGCGATGAAGAGCTGAAGCAAAAAAGCTGAGAACATGGGAAGATTAAATGTTGGTCAATTCAGGCACTGGCACAAGAAACAGTTTTGGCTTTGGAAAACATGGCGTGCGGCGCATGGGAGTATGAGCTTTCTGATTGCTAATCCTAGACGTCACGACGACAGAACGGGCGTGTAGGATGAATACCGGCGAGGACAAAAGGACGGGCAGTGATGGTTGCTTCTTGGGAGCGTTCGATCAATCGTTGGGTTCGACGGATCTGTAGACGAAGAAACACGGTGCCTACTTGCGGATGGCAAGAATGGGCGTGGGGGTGTCGGAGCAAAACTTAGTAAGCTGTTCTTCGGCAATCTTCTGGATCGTCTTCAGTCGAGTAAAACTGTCAACCGCAGTAGAGGCATCATCATTGGTCGCTATAGTTCCTTGTATTAGTCCTGCAGAGTAACAGGGAGGTGTCTTCATGATGAATACTTACCAGGCTCGACAGTCTGACCTCTATTCTCCAGGAACAACTCAAATTTGGCAAGGAGACTTGCTTTCTTTGGGTCTTCCTTGACCATCTTGTATGCTTCAACCCAGATCTTGTCCCAACCGGCCGTATCTGTAACCTCTGCCTTAGCCGAAAGTGCATCTTGCTGGTGGGGAGCGACTCCAGGCGTAACAGAGTCTGCAGTTAGCTGGGGTTGCCCCCCTTGTAGGCTTCCAGTGGCTAATTGTTGGGAGTCGGGCGTTGATTGCTCAGAAGGCCCTTCATTATCAGCCGTCTTCAATGCTTAGCGACAAGTTCTATCCATCAACGTCTGACCGAGGACGCACCGGTATTTCCAATTTGTCGGAACTTCTCCACAAGCCTTTGACCTTTTTTTTTACTTTGACCTTCAGCCGCCGGAGGTCGTCCTCCACTTTCCGATCTTCCGACATTATTCTACCAGTACCTCGTGCGCATCATTATATCTTCGTGGTTCTGAAAAGGCTCGTGGGCGTCATGTTTGATGAAGAAATGTTTTGAGGGAGGTTAGGCAGTAAACCCCGCTTGAGACCCTGCAGGGACACTGGCAAATCAGACCATAGAGAAGTGCGAGAAAATGAGGGGTTTATTTGATGGAATATATTGCCTGCAAATCCATTGGCTTGAAGCGACTGGCATGTCAGCTTTACTGGAGCCAACTCAGCTTATCATAGCTCATAGACTTGGCTAATAATTATAGCAGGCGCTCAATAGCGGGATTGTACGCGACACGGTCGATGGACTTAGCGTAGCTAAGAATTATCATTTAAAGTAACTAAGTTACTATTTCTATAATATTATTAGGATCCTTACCTATATATCTTAAAAAGAACTATTTCCCTATCTTTAAGATAAACTATAACTAGGATAACTATAAAGATAAATTAGAGTTTAAGAACTTATATATAGATAGCCGTTGCTTAAACTAAGGAAACTTTCCCTTTAAAAACATAAGGTACTAGACTTTAAAAAAGAGCTCTAGATACTCTCTGGTTCCCTCTACACTGCAAGGCTTTCCTGTATATTTCTTAATTACCTCAAGGGCAGCGTCTATTATCTCCTGGCCCTTTAGAACCTCCAGTTCAGCTTTACCTCTCAGTCTTTTGCTTTCGCTTTGGGAGAGTGGTATATTACAAGGCGGTCTCCGCATCAGATCAGCACAGGCACTTCGCTACAAGTACATCTAGTGTTGTAGTGAGGGAGATGGAAAGGCTGAGGGCTTTTTTAAGTATAAATGGAAAGGTGGAACTTACCTCCAACGGTATTTGTGGGTCGTGTTTCCGGGCGAACAGTGACGGAAGTGAGTGTTCTTGCTGATTTCGTGGTATGCAAGATCAAATAGATAGGTCCACCGTCGCTTTTTTTCGGTCTTACGTTTATCTACAGAAGAGCTCAAGCGAGACACCGCCGAAGTGGAGCGCCAAGTTGTACCTTGTGCTAAGGGTTCGGAGAATTTGGCCAGCTACCCCGTCTCCGTCCATTCTCGTCTAAAAATTATCACAGCGCATGAAAACCCAGCTTCTTCTGAACCAACCATGACATGCAATCGATGACGTAGTAGCTATGACTTGATCTTTCGGTGGCTGCACGTATCTTTCTTTTACAGGCCATCCTTGAGTGACCTTGAGCCCAGGCTCCATCAGTGCGACGCTATCGTTCGGTAATCGTCGAGGTTTTTTTTTAGAGGCGGTCGCTTCCTCTTCGCGCGATGTGGTCCCGCCCAGCAGACCTTGGGATATTGAGAGGCGAATAGCCCAGCCAATATGCAGCAACAGCGGAAACGACATCAAGTAAGGCGCCCGCTTTTCTGGCAAGACGATTACCTTAATTAAAAGCAGCAAGTTCACCGTACACTCTGCAATGTTGGCGGGTGGTACGCCAAACAACAAACAAAACGTCGACCCTAGTCATCAAGTTATGTCTTAAGCCGCGGCACATATCGAGGCATTTCACACGCAAGATGAATTGACTTTGCGTGACGCAATTGCAGTCTATCTTTGTCCCGGCCCCTCAAACACAAGATCACCTTTAACCGCCAGACTATGCTGTGTTTTTAACGTCTTCTAGCCTAGCCGCTAGTGATACGTTTTCCCACCAACTATCTATGTAACAGAAGAGAATAAGCGGTCTTGTGGTCCTCCGACTATCAACACATGATCAGAGTCTAAGCGACATTGGTTGTCCAATCATAGCATTGTATCGGAGTGTCCCCGGTTCAAGTAGTGGAGCGTGATGCCAGCACTATCAGTATCCACTGATTGGATAACTGCAGGACCTAGCTAAGATCGTCGGCAGGGACCTCTTGGCGGGCGGAGTTTCTGCTCCCTGCGCCACAAACACGTGTTAGATAATCAACCACGTAGCAATCAGAATTTTAATAGCCACATCCAGCGTAACGTTGTCACCAACACCAAGCACCAAAGTTCTATATCAGCCTCAGTTTCCTCCATGAAAAGCGCGTCATCGCCGATCGACAATACGTCGACTGCAGAGGACACACGTGTAACTGAATACATACGTGACCGCGAGACCGCACGGTATGTTTTGGGCACAGGCAGCACCGCCACAAGCTGGGGCCGTCTCTGCATCTACTTACCACATGCTTCAATAGTTACGATGAGTTGCTACGTGCAAGATGTCTTCCAATCGGTCAACGCAACGGTACTAATCTTTCAGCATCACCTGATAATATCCTCACCAGCTTTGCTCAGTTGGCTACTTGTCGGACCATGACTGAGCGTTCAATGATATCGCTATTCGACGAGACAGAACAATATGTCGTTGCCGAGGCTACCCCGACCACGTCTTTGCTGCCCACGCCACGACCAGACAACAGTCGCGATGCTTTCTGGCTCTGTGGATCGTATATCCCGCGTAATGATGGGATTTGTGACTACATGCTGCGTGCCGCCGACAGGTCCTGTACGGCGTCTACCCCGGACGAGTTGCCTGTATTCGTTGTGCAAGACCTAGTCACGGACCCGCGATTTTCCTCCAGTCCTTATTGCCAAGCTGGTAGTTCGGCTAGATTTTATGCATCAGTACCTATTCGATCTCCTCGGGGGATCAATATCGGGAGTCTATGCGTCTTTCATTCCACACCAGGCGTGGAATGGACGGATGGGTATTCAGACGTTTTGCGCGGCCTGTCACAGATCATCATGGATCATCTTGAGGGGAACAGAATAAAAAATACCTTGAAGCGCAGCCGGCAAATCGGCATTGGTCTGCAGAAATTCACCGACAGAAGGCCGGTTCCGCTTGAAAGCAATCTTGATTTATTTGCGACTATAAAACCCGGCACATCTCATCCTCCCGATCAGAAAAAAGCCGATCCGGATCTCCAGCATTCTCCAAACCCCCACCACGAACCCATCTCTCCTATAAAACCTAAGCCTCTCGAAATTCCCCAAGATCAGCCTCAAAGGTTCACATCATTGAACACATTCTTCGACGCAGCCACTATCATTAGAGAGTCTCTTGACGTAGATGGATGTGCGTTCTACGGTGGAGACTCCCGTAATTTCAATCATGTGCGCTCGTCAGAATCTGATCATCAGTCTGAAGCTTTCCTCGACAGATCCTGCTTCAGCCCAACTGTGATAAGCGATGAGGATGATGTGAATTCTCAGGTGCAGCTCCCTTGTCAAGTTCTCGGATCTTCCTTCACCCAGCCCAGCGATTCTTCTCCCGAAGCCGTGGGGGGCTTATCACAACTTTTCCTCTCTCATCTGCTTGAACAGTACCCTCAAGGTTCCATCTTCAACCTTGAGTCTCATCCTACCGGCAAGTTCGACGACCGAAGTAATTTCAGCCTTGATAAACAAAGCGCTTCCGCCGCGGCCAAGATAGACCAGATTTCGCTAAACGAGGACCATCCATTGCCGGGGGCGAGCTCGATAAGCGACTGCGAAATCACAGGGTCTATTTACGAGCAAAAAGAACTTTCGCAGGCTTTCCCTGATGCACGAAGCGTTGCTTTCATCCCCATATGGGATCCCCAAAAAGGAATGTGGTCCATCGGCGGCTTTGCATGCTCGAGAAAACTTCGTTATGAATTCGATAGGGACAGCGAGTTGCCCTTCCTGAGGGCTCTCGGCATACTTGCAGCATCGGAAGCCTTTCGACTCGATACTTCGAAAGCTGACAAATCGAAATCGGACGTTCTTGGCTCGATATCCCATGAGTTGCGCTCTCCACTTCACGGAATCATGCTTGGTCTGGAGCTACTCAGCGATTCAGGACTAACTGCTGCGCAGCGGAACCTTGCTTACATGATTGAGACATGCTGTCGAACCCTTTTGGATACCACAGAACATTTACTGAACTACTCTAAAGTGAATCAGGCTTCAGAGACAGACAAGAATCAAGCCAAGGTTCTGAAGCAGTCCAATGACGATAAAGACATTTCTGTTAGGGCAGAACCTACGCTTCGATCTGTTCCTTTAAACCTCATCATCGAGGACGTGATCGAAAGTGTTTATGCTGGTCACAGCTACCAGCAAATATCGATAGCGGGCTTGTTCAGCCCTCCCAAGCACCGAAAAGACTCTGGAGTCCAGGCTACGCGACGAATGGAATCTGCGCAAGCTGCAGAAGAAGCCCACAATACAAGCGGCAGTGATGGACAGCATCAACAGGACAGGAACGTTTCCGTTTTCTTACTATATGATCCCATGTGTCAATGGAACTTCCACACAATTCCTGGTGCAATCCGTCGCATTGTCATGAACCTGTTCGGGAACTCTCTCAAGTATACATCCAGGGGTGTTATTAAAGTTTCGGTCTCGCAAAGTCACCCAGAGAATGCCAATAGCAACGAACGAATAGTTACACTCGTGGTAGAAGATACAGGCCGGGGCATCAGCGAGGAGTTTCTGCGTAACAAAATCTTCAGACCGTTCTCGCAGGAAGATCAGCTATCGACCGGCACCGGATTGGGGTTGAGTTTTGTGCACAGAATCACATCTCAGCTCGGCGGCACAATCTCCATCACCAGCCAAGTCGATGTTGGCACTAAAGTCACGGTATCAATTCCCATGATGCTGGACGTGACTTCTTCAACGCATGAGCGTGGCATGGAAGAACAAGCATGCTATGGCCTTCGTGCCGCGGTTACCGGCTCTATACAAACTTCCAGAATTGCCCCTTCAGGAATTATCAGTACGGATAACTTGATCGAGAGGCTATGTTGCGACCACCTCGGTATGACACTGGTTGCGGAATCAAAGGCCAAAGAGCTGAGACCGGATGTCATTATCTTTATCAACAATGGAAATTCCAGTCTACCAGCATCATCTGCTGCATGGGAAGAAATGCCGGTTTTAGTGGTTTGCAACGACGCTGTACTTTTACAGAAGTCCGAATCAGCATGCAAGCGCCGCGGTCACTCACAAATACAGGAATTTATCACACAACCGTACGTTCTACCCCTTCTTGTGTAATATCCTTACTAAATCTTGTAAAGTCTAAGTCCGAAGAAGCTAGAGGAGGCCATGTCTCGGCTAATGAATCGTTGGGCCGAGTCGCGAGCTAGCCTACCTACGTCAATACACATGTCGTTGCCAACTGTATCGACTACGGCATGCTCCAGTCAACCACCAACCCCAAGCCCCTTAGTTCAAGAGAGCCCATTGGGAGGTCTGCTTTCAGCTCAAGATTATTTCCAAACCCCTCAATTTTTACTAGTCGAGGATAATCCAATTAACCTCAAGATGCTTACACACTTTATGAAGAAATTAAACCAGTCGTATAGGACCGCGGTTAATGGCGAAGAGGCGGTTTTGTCTTACAAGGAAAGTCCAGGACAGTTCAGGTATATCCTGATGGATATTTCCATGCCCGTCATGGACGGTCTCGAGGCAACACGGCAGATACGGGCATTTGAGCAATATAACGAAATTCCCCCTTCGTTAGTGATGGCGATCACAGGGTTGGGGTCTGAGAGTACGCGAAATGAAGCAACTCGAAGCGGAGTAGATCTTTTCGTTACTAAGCCCGTTAAACTTAAGGAACTCGAGACAACACTCAAAGCTCGTGGGCTTTATGTCTAGATATTATTAGTGCTATACCAATGAACATTATCAAGGAATGTATCTGTTATTTAGAATTCTAGCTCTAGCTGTAAACGCCCTAATAATTACTTTTAATATGCTGGAAGATCCTCTCCATTCACCGATTGACCACAGTCTGATTCAAAGATAAAAGTTAAATACCAAACTCCTGCGAAACTGCGGCTCCTCCTTCAATCTCCTGTAGCGAGACGTCCTGACTTCCGGAGTGGATCGATGGGTCCCAGCTGGCCTGTTGAGTTGGAACTGGGGTTTGCAAGGTGTTGTAGAAGGCATTGCCAAAGGCCGGACTCATCATAGGCGCCGCGTTGCTTAGACCTGGACCCGGTCTGGTAGCGTTGGGCGATAGAGTGAGATATGCCTCTTGCGTAAAGGTTGAGTTGCAAGGGAGTACCTCTGTCCATGTCCCGTTAGGGAATAATTGAATAGGCCAAAGATGCCCAGTACCAGGCACAGGGTGAGACCTGTCAGACACTGTAGGGTTGACTGCAGGTTCGCCGGCACGAGGGACTTCGTCGAAGGAGGTGGTCATCGACGTGGAAGCAGACCCTGTACTGTACTCCCTTCCAGCTACCTTCACGGCTTGGGAAGAGGCGCGAGCGAGCCACTGTGTAGGCCCAGTAGCAGCAGGTTCGTTAAGAAGCACGATAGCTATGGCCTTTGCCATGTACTCTTTTGTTTCCGTCGCGGTGGGTAGAAGGTTGGGTGCCCCGGAATTGAGTGCCTCAACGGCCTTGGTATCATACATGGCATCTAGCAGGGTCTCAGCTTGCTTTGCAAGCCGGTCTCCCAAGTTCATGTCTTCACAATGAACTATCGAACATTTAGCTCAAGGAAGAACAGAGTCTAAATACGTACAGTCAACCTTGATAGGCCTCCAGAGAGACATTGCATAAGGTTCGCTGACAGAGGTAAGAGAGAGAGAGACGTGAAGGAAGAAACAAATACATACAGGCCGACAAAGGTTCATTGAAATCGGGAAACTTGTCTTTGGGGAAGATCATGTTCCAGACTTTGACAAAAACGTCTGTCCGATATTTGTTGCGATCGTCACCGCGTGGCCGCTTGGTGTGCGAGCTGATTTCTTGTAGGACGGCCTTCAAAGTAGCATCGTTCATGTAGAACTTCGCTATCATGTTGGCGTCAAGTCCCTTGTTCTTCGCTAGGTGCTTGGTCTTTGCCTCGGGGGAATGGTGCGTATTCAAGTGCTTCCTGTGATGCGTGAGGACTTTTTCTTGTACACAAAGGGTCCGAATGGGGCAATCGAAGTAGGGAATAGATGATAGGGTTCGTACCTCCATTCATTTGGGTCGACCATGTTCCCCGGAGAACAGTCCTTGAGATGTGGAATCCAGTATACCTCGGGGTATGCAAGATGGTAGGGACAGATCCAACGCCGTCCCTTGTCCTCGTTACTCCCTTTGGTCGAGGACGAGGAAGCTCCATCACCTCCATTTCTTCCATTACCGTCTCCATCATCACCTCCAACTCCATCACCATCTGGGGGCTCTTTGCCACGCCCTTTTTTAGAGTTGTTGCGGGCGGTTCGGCGCCTCTTAGGGTCCTTCTCAAAAGACCGCGAGGTACCCGTTGATGACCCATCGGGACAATCCGTATTATCAGTCGCATCGTGGTCAATCAGAACGTCGCGCTTGTATGACGGCAGTCGGTGAATAGCGGAAATGACACCGCTTGCGAAGGAGGGATTGGAGGACAGTACTTTGCGAATGCAAGCAAAGATGGACGGAGGAAGATGTGATATGGACCGCTCTGATGCTGCCCGTGTGCGGTCAGTGTGGAGGGGGAAACACGTCTCTGGTAGTGTCGAAGATTTTGTCGCAGAGCCGCGGGTCGTGCCTACGTAGCGAGACCGTTGAGTGATGGTTATTTCATCGCGGAGGCCAACAAAAGGTTGTTCCTAGAGTGAAGATGATGAGAGCTGGCACCTTGGTTTGGGGGATGCTTTGGGGGATGCTGATGCTTACCTCGTAGAGTGTTGGCAGGCCCGGAATGCCTGCTTTCTCGAAATCACGTTCCAATTCAACAAGCGGAGGTGCTGCCGATTGGCTGCTGACACCATCATAATATTCGTTGGCGAGAGAGACATAGAAATCGCCTGGACTGTCTGCCCACATGCATTTCCAGAATGGTGAAAGGTTGAGGGGCTGGAATGAAGATCAGCTTTAGTTTGCGGGGCAGCTGAAGCCGGACCGCATTGCGGCCCGACGCGTAGTCTGGGGTGGGCTTACCTGTTCATGCTCTGCATTGCTCACCATCTTGAACGACGTTGCCTTGTTGAAACGGAATGTATAACAAATCAAGAATAAGTGTTTTCAAAGGTGAATGAGGGATGAAACAGGCAACGAAGCGGGAAAGCCAATTAATAGCCATAGTCTGTCCGCATCATTCTCAGTAGACACGGCCCAAATTTCTTGGTAGCTACAGAGAAATTGACGACTCAGCAGGTAGGCTCACTGAGGGGCTGAATCCGCGCTGCCAAGTCTGTCACACACCAATCACATCACGTTCAGTTGTCAGTAGCTAGACACATTCTCCCCCTGATTCCCCGCAATGCCAGAGAAATGAGCTTTGAGCTCACTTTTCTCTCTACCTGCCGACAAATGACGTCGGCGCAATGCGTTTCATAACATATTCAGTCAGCGCTTTGATTCCATAAGACAAATCACCGTCCAAGTCCGATCCAAGAACTAAGGCCTCTTCTTAATTTATCATTCATTAATCAAGTGCATCTGTCTGTGGAAGTATTCACAACTAAGGTCAAAGTTCCTTTTTTGGACTTGCACTTGCGCTAAAGAATCTGTAACAATCTCCGGGCACGTGTCCCTCCTAGTAGACTTTTGAGTCCAAAGTCGCCAAACTGAGCGAACGTCACCAGCTACCCTGCACTATTGTATACCAACTCCTGTCTCCTTACGAGATACAGATCATCTTATATTCTTATTTTGTTAGCTTACCCCAGGTATTCTTTTTCTTGAGTGTCAATCTATGTCCTTCTTTGTTACTCAGCTTCGCTAGATTGCGTCTAATGCCTCCCTACTCGACTAGAAGTTTGCATTCCATTGATCCTTCTTTTGGATCCTTTGTGCCTCTCGGGCCGATTTTTGTCAAAGTGTTATCTACGTTGAGTTAGAATGAGCAAGAAACTTCGTTCAAAAATGGCTTCGAACAACTCCCCAGGCTAACAATGTCCATTCAGAGACGCGAGGGATCCCAGGTCAGTCAAGCTCAAATGGACAAATGCGATGGTATTTCTTTTTCTTTCTTTTTTTTTTTT